CGACATCGCCTCTGATTGGTTAGAGGCTCAAATGACGGAAGTTCCCTCTTTCCTAATTTGAGCCTCTAGCCAATTACACGCAATATCCTCACTCCCGTCACTTCCGTCACTTTCGTTTATTTTTTAGGAGAAACGAAACATTTGTCGAACATAGCCCCCTTGGTGAACCCCTTGTTTACCGAATAACTTGAAGGAGACGACTGGATATATCCCCAGCAGCATACGCAACACGCCAGTGTACTACTACTTACATAGCAAGAGCTTTTCTCACACCTTGCCATCATATTAAAATTCATACACATTCGTGAATTCCATCGGTTAAAACCGGAATGAGTAGACAAACCGGCTCGTATTAACATGGGGGTTTCAACGACATGGGCGAGACTGTGAATGTCTAGCACGCTAGACGTTAATTTCCCCGGAATGCCTATTCTTTCGAAGCTTGGATAGCAAAACGGATAACTTTTTTTTTTCTTCCAAAGATTGTGCAAAGACACGTAAGTGTTTTTGTCTTGTTTGTTTGCTTCAGAAGTTGTCTTTCTCCTCTCCGAAACTTTTTCGTCTTTATGCAGTACAGAAATAGAACAGCGGCGATAACCACCGGTCAGTGACTCACTTCCTATATATACACGCTTACTCGCGAAAGGGGGCAATGATGACTCGAACTGTGGTTTTTTCGAAGTCCCGTTGTTGCACTTGTTGAGGACCGTAACTTCTTATCTATGTAGAAGATACCGAGTCGCCCTATATTTTATTTTATATATGGGGTTTGTCTGGTTCGTCGGAAAGGGCACTACGCTCGTCGAACACAAAGTCGAGGCCGAAATTCACGGACCGCACCGATTGGACTACCATGACGCTGACTTCGCGCTTTTGTCGCCGGCGTCCAATCAGCGCACTCCGCGAGCTTGCGGCTCCAACTTTGTGTTTCACGAGTTTAGGGCCCTAGATCTCAAATCAAGTGGCTTCGGCTGAGTATTAAAAGAGGTCACGACGACTATTGACAGTGAGTGAATAAGCAAAGCGAGAGAATCGGCTATATTATCCAGCATAAATAACGGGAGCGCTGGTACTCTTATTTTTGAAGATAAAAACTTTCGGCAGGCGAGAAGTGCCACCGTTAAATATGTTTTTTCCGGGGTTCATTATTTGCCTGTTGCCCAATTGTTACAGTAGACGCCACTCAACTTTATACCCGACAGTTTAGCGTTTCCTTCACGCTGTTACTTTGCGAATGGGTAGAGTCCTGGTTTCCGTAAGCGGACCTTCCGTAAGCGGCAATTTCAAGTGAACAGCTAATGGACCTTTTTCACATAAAGACGACACCTAGTGGCTAAAACTCCAACTACGGTTGCTAGATAAAATGGGTGCTGCGATACCTTCCCTGCCTTCTCAACGCCTGATCCGAGTCGCCAAAGAGGCAGGAGAGGTAGTGCAACTATTCTTCCCGACGCCAACTGAAGTTAGAGCTTTCGTCGCTGCGAGGGGAAGGTCTGCGCATGTGCAGAACCCGTCTTGAGAAAAGGTCCATTGAAATTAACGAAACTTCAGAACGGTTCAGTAAACGAAATGTATAACTTCACCATTAACTTGTGTCACACGTTGTGTAACGGACAAAATAGAGCAGCAACGAAGCAATTTATTAGGAGCGAAGCTCCTTAGGGTCTAGCCTTGTCCGCTCAGGCTTCGAACCTGAGCGGGGAGACTCCAACGGATTTCTAGTCCATCGCCTTAACCACTCGGTCACGACTGCGGGACGAGTAGGGGACTCTGAGATGTGGTAGTAACTCAAGAGCTGGGGATGTCATGGATGAAACGTTGCATGTAGCCGCTCAGCGTCTATACAGGAGAGGGCGCTGCGGTCAAATGCGTATATAATGGCGTTAAACTTTGCATGCATTAACTCAACGTTTATAGACGAGAGGGCGCTGCGGTCAAATGCTCAAATGCGTATATAACCACGTTCCATACCACACATTCTCTTCCTGACATGGACCTATGAAACGATTTTTCTACTTCTTCCTCCTTAGCTTTAATCCTCAACTCAAATGCGAATTGTGAAATCACGTGGTTGTGACATTCCTTCGGCATCGGTGCGATGACTCCTAGCTTCCACCGTGCTTTTTATGCACACCATAGAACTTGTCATTCCCCAGTGACAATAAGTTCCGTCAGGGCACTCATTGGCCACGAACGCGAATCCAAATATTCGTCGACGGATTGATTGTTGACGAGCGCATACGTCCGAGTGACGCAGTTCTCGTGTCCAATGCGTGAGCTGGGCTCTCCTGACGTCAGTTTGGCGCCGGTGACGCGCTTTTGGAACCGCGGATGTATCATAATGAAAAGGCGGAGAGCTTTCGAAGGCAAGAAGGTACAAAATAGTCCGCTATATTTTCAAATGTTCGTACCGAAAAGCTGGCTTTTGACTTTCTAGCCTCTTTCTTTTGGGCAACTAAACGACATGCGATTAGTAAAGTCCCAATTTAAAATCATTCATCCCAACTCAAAACTCGTTTCATGGCCCCTTTAAGCGGTGGAGATGCGTTCCCACGGCTTCTAGCCGAACCAGGCTGATCCGCTAGAAGAACCACTGGCTCTGCATTTCACCGACCATAAAGCAGTAATAATGAAGTTTAAACGCAACCCGAAGCTCAGCACTACCTATGAGTAAGAAAAACAAAAATCAGCACAATCAGCACTACCTATGAACAAAATCAGTATCATCAGCACCACCAGAGCTTCGCCCCAATCAACATCATTCACCACGTGGAGATGCGGTAATTTTTTTTCACTGTGTGTGTACAGATTTGCAAGTGTGAAGTGCACGTGCACTTTAGAAAGTGTCCGTATGCTTCCCCTACTTTAACGCGGTTTGAGTTAAGGCGCCACACTTAAGACTTTACTCATATCGTAATGACCGGAATAACGTACCAGAATCAGCATACAAGGCTAATAATTGCACGCGTCTCTCCAGATTCTCACATGTAGATATTCGAAATCACGTATAAGAGCGTAGCATAAAGAGTGTACGTTGCGACCTACACTCACGTGCCTTGCAAATACCGAGTTTTGTCCCGGTACACAAGAGAAGCAGATTGTTGGCAACTCAAACTATCTTCCCCGGTCCTGCTTCGTTACAAACATATTTTGTGGCCAGATGGTGACGCTCCATAAATAATTGACAAAAAAAAAAGTTTATGACGCGTTTTGGATTTTCGTTGTTCTTGATACCAGGTGAAATGGCTGCAGGTGCGGCCTGCAGCCATTTCCCCGCATAGCGAATACCTTCCTCTCATTGCGCGCTTTATCATCTATTTTCAACGCTGCATTCGTGGGGTTTTCCTTCGGCGCAAAAGAGCTGCTCAACCTGTAAGGTCTAAACAAACGATGGTGTCGTCAAAATGCTCCGTACAATTTAAATAAATACACGATAATTGTCCTCGCGATTTTTACGGCGCTATCTTCATTTCCATCACTTTATTAGGGCATGTGTAAGCCTGCGAAAATAAACGGTATGTCCCATTAGCGTGTGGCAAACCTTTTAGGTCACTGTCTTTGACAGTTAAAGGTTATTTTACAGCTGGAGCTAATGAACATATAGATCGTGCAAGGAAATACAAAGATGTCTCGTTAATGTGAACGCCTCCCTTCCCCCCAAAAGGGTACATGATATGAGTTGTCTATCAAACGATAAAAAAATGAATATATTTACCAATTTCGTCCCCGAAAATATTGTACGTATAGCAGAGCATACATATTAGAGAGTTTTAGTAGATCACTCCGATGACTCCGATAACGATACCCGATATTCCGCCGCCGCCTTCGCGCATGCATCGTATCGTTGTCGGGAGTATCGGAGACATCAGAACGGTATTTTAAAAGTCGCTATTAACGGAGTCCTTATTAACGAGACGTGACCAGCCCCAAACCCCAGTTGATTCCGGAGAATCGTACTACACCTACCCAAGAAGACGCATAAGAACAGTAAAAATGATAAATGTAATGACACCTGATATCACAAATTTAGAACATTTGAACGAAGCTTTGCTTCTTTTCTTTTATATATATATATATATATATATATATATTAGTCTGGGTTTTATTACTTTGATAATTCTCTGAGTGCGGTTGCAGAAGTACGATGTACCTGGGCTGGCTTGCCAGAAAAAGCGTCTTAGCTGAGACTGGGTGAAAGAAAGAGCTGCCAAAGCCAGCGCATAAGCTGAGCGAATCCAACTCAAGACGCTCGCGCGCCCCAACCTTTGCAGAGATTTCTTTCATCCAATCTCAGCTGAGACGCGGTTCTGGCAAGCCGGCCAAAAAAAAAAAAAAAAAAAATATATATATATATATATATATATATATATATATATATATATATATATATTTCCGTGTAAACTTGCAAAGGCAAAAAAAAAAGAGTGTGCTCGGTAGGTGGGAGCAGGAAGCGATATGGGGGTTTCAATTGTGTCTCAGGTTGTTGCACAATTTTTCTTTCTCGTTTCTTTTAATGCTGTTTGGAAAAACGGCTGCAATTGGGCGTAACGTAAGGATAGCGAGAAATCAAGTTGTCTATATCGCTCTAAAACTCTAATTTCGGTTCGCTTTTTTTAAAATCTGGAATTGTGTCAATACATTCATTGTTCGTAGACTTAAAACCTATATGCATGTCACTCACTTCTTTAAAGTTTAACCAAAATCCTATAAAAAAATGCATTCTCGTTTGAAACTTGGAAACCATTCCAACAAAGCATGGCACACTGCCCCCTCTCAGGACTTATGAGTAGCGCTGTCAAAGGCGCAGGGCCTGAGAGCACTCTAGTTGCATGCGAGCGCGTGACTTTAGTACTTTCCTTGAGGCTCGTCCAAAGAAAGCGCTTTGCAAAGATTACTCTCACGCCTGTGGCTTTGGCAGTGCTGTACGAAAGTTCCGAGACGAAGAGAGAGGACGGACGCCAATTCCTCCCGGCTGCCGGTCACCGCGTGCGCTCACATACCTTGAGCAGCTTCTTGCACGACGAAAGCATGACGGGCGCTGCAACGAAGCGGTTCCTCGTGTAGTCCTGCTCAAAGCCCGAGTCGTCGGCGTGCTGAGCGAAAAGGCGAACCATCTGGAAGACGAGCGCCTCGGGCTTGAGCAGCTTGAGCGAGAAGTTGAGGCCCTCGGACAAGAAGACCTTGGCGTAGAGGGCTTCGAGCAGGTGCAGCGACTGGGGCACCGCGTCCAGGAAGACCTCGACGGGCAGCTCTGGCAGGATGGCCTTGAAGGTGGCCTGTCCCAGACGGGTGACAAGGTTGGCAGCCTCGCGGTACTGCTGGCGCTCGCAGAGCAGGACCACGCGTCGGCTCGCCAGCGCGGGGCTCATGTCGGCGATGGTCATGCTGGCCACGCGCTGCTCCTCGGGGAAGCTGTGGAGCCAGTGCGAGTTGCGCCAGGTGAGCTTCTGCACGTTGCGCCGGTGCGCGGGAGCCCGCTCGGGCCGGATCCGCCTGCCGCTGCTCATGACGCCTGTCCAGCGACGACTGCAAGCCCGGGGAGCGCGCGCCGCTCAGGTCATCGCGCGAGCGCCACCCGTTCGCCTACTGACACACTGAGCCCAAAACGGGTTTGTGCGTCGCTGGGCAGCCACCGCGCCCGCTCAGGGACCCGATGGGCATCCCCAAAGCCCCGCCGACGCGCCGGGGGTCCGCTCGCGACGCCTGGCGTCTCGTGTCGGATGGTGGAGCCTCGCTGGAGCCTTTGATCGATGAAGCATTTTGTCGACGGAGCGTCACCTATTCTCGTATACGCCCTCAAGAACCGTAAATCATAAGGTCCGACTCCACTTTACTAACATCGCCATTCATGAATTAGGTGCATCTTAGATTAGCTTTACGGTATCGTATTTAGACGTTTCAAACTCAAAAAAGCATCGTTTCTTCCTTCGACAACCAAATCCCGTAAGAACTACTTCACACAGTGCATGCAGAAACTTCCTTCTTTTTTTTTTTTTTTTTTTTTCTTATGTGACCTGGGTAGCATTTCATCTGTGAAACGCTTTATACATTTTCATGTATGAAGCATCGTGTAATCAATGAATTATGGGGGGAAAGAATACAGCCGCGTACACATACCCGGGCATGCATTATTAAAACAAAAACAAAACTTTAGATACTATCTTTTCTCGGAACTGTAATAGGTGAAAGTGAAACAAGGCATATGCGGAAACGCACATGCCGCCAAAACGTCCCAGGCTCTGCTAAGAGGAAGAGAAAAGGATGGGGAGATGTACGACACACGTGTGCGGGGATTAGATCACTAAATGAGTTTCCGTGGCTACATACCTTGGTTGCGTCCAACAACATTACACCTTGGGGAAAGCATTTTGGAGTCTGATGGTCATTAGCGGGAGCAACATTTCGATGCAACACTCAGTTTTTAGCAGAAAAAAAAAGTTAGCTAAAAGCGGAAACTATACATACTCTACCCGCATTGAAACAAAACGAACGCTTAACGTGTGTCAAACTGTTACGTTCGAGTTAAATTTCCCCATTAAAGTAACCAAGACGCTATGACTAAAATTGACATGTGATTCCCCTGCTAAGGAACAATCACCGATTTGCCAAGCACCGAGCCACGAAGCAGAGACAAATTGGGCGGAGAAACGCCATCCATACATCTCTTTATCGGGAAACGGCAAACACCAACTGCGTGCACCCCCTGGCAGGAAAAGTAAATGAAGAAAAAATAAAAAGCGACAAATTGCCGAAGCATGAGTCAACTCAGCTTGGTGTTTTTTGATGGTTCTGTGTGTTCGGCAATCGGTACGACACAATCAGCTTTCCCATTCCTCGCGCTACTTGGGGGAGCCTTCCGCCCTTGGCTGGCAGCGGAGACCAAAACCGCGGAGCCCGACGACCGCGGTGTCCTGCTGCAGCGCCACAAAGTTTCAAGGTCCAACTGGCTCTCGCCGAAGATGCCGGAAGTAGGTCGCCTCGGCACATTCTGGACTTCCGACAACAACGGAAGCCTGCGGAAGCATCCGGGCTGCCTAAGCACGTGCGCGGCTGCTTGGAGGAGAGGTCACCTTCCCCTCTTCGCCTGGCGCGGATCGCCCCATTGAAGCCTGTAATCACGGTGCGCTCGTGATCTAGCCGAGTGTGCGGCGATAAAACGGCGCCCTTCTGGAACCAACGGGAGCTCCGGAACGGGCGCTTAACTGGGGCTGGATTCGTCCCTTCGCGACTGGGTTGACCTTATCGGGCTATGCCACCGAATTATGTGGCCATCGGGGCTGGCCAGGCTCTCTTCTTATTCAGCTGCCTGTGTTTATTGTAATAACTCGCTGCAATGGAAGAAGTGTAGGAGAAGCTCCGTCCCCCGATTTTCCAAAAAAGGAATGGCATTTCAGCATGCGACGGAGCTCGAAATGCGATTGGACCAAGAAATGTAATGAGCGCAGGTATACAAGGACCGGAATCAGACACCAACAGCGAAGTCAAACACCAACTTTTCTCTTCCTCTTCCCTCGTCGAACGCGTGCGGATGCGAGAGCCAAACGCCAGACGCCGGCGTTCCGCGTTCGTAACGCGTTCGACGAGTGCAGTGGAGACAAAGGCTGCCTTTGTCTCCACTGCACTCGTCGAACGCGTTGAAATTCAAAAGCCAAACTCCGGACGCCGGCGTTCCGCGTTCTAATGTGTTCGGCGAGTCCAGTGGAGACAAACGCTGCAGGTTTTATGTCTCAAAGCATCCAGTGACTGTCTACTCACTAATAGATTCAACCAGAGGTCGGTGTTCTGACGTCCTCGCGCGCTCGCGTCTCCTCCTATCGCTCACTTCTGGGCGCATTGCATGGCCCTGCATGGGACGCTCTCACTTGATTTAATGACGTTTTAGCGAACGCCGACGTTTCACCGAATGGCACTTTAGAGAATAGTCGGCCGCCGCGAAGTGCCGGTTACGGGTGGGCCAAGTGGGTTCACATTTTTGTAATGAGCCGCCGCAGACTGCCGCCGCAAAGCGGCGTAAGCGAAGCGGGGGGGGGGGGGGGGGGGGGGGGGGGGGGGGGGTTTAACACGCGCCGCCATTATTCGCTAAAACGTAGATTCGCTGAAACGTCGCTGTTCCCTAAAACGTCATTCGCTCATGTACGGACCCTAGTACACTATATAGTTTCGTATCAACAGAATCTGTGCCACCGCTGAGCCTTAGCAAAGAGGATCTCTACGTCCGGGCCGAAGCTGGTCGACTCAACTCATTGACGGGGCAAGTCTGAAGCTTTTAAATGTAGCTCAAACTGTCGGTGCATGTTCATTTGCCAGTGATGAAACAGGAAGTCCTGAAAATACGCAACATGAGCTGCATGCAGGTCGCGAATATGAGCGTTGCGTGAGGCACGAGTGCGAGCGCGTGCCTTTGGAAAATCTATTTTCTGTGCAAGTGCTCCTGCTACCAACAGATTTTTGTACGATGTACGGTTCCTTGGATGGCACGTAACCTGCAAGAATCATGTTTATTTCATTGATTTTCCCGCGCTGCTCCTGACACATTAAAATGCATCGGAAAACATGACACATAAATGAGTTATATATGAATGATCATTCATTTGCAGTACAACATAATTGATACTTTATTGAAATTTAACATTAAAAAATAGTACAAGCTGCGCATCAAAAGGAAGCCTCCGGGACTGATACATTGAAGCGCTGACTAATAACGCCTAGTTCAAGTATCTACCTAGCGTCTCACGACCAAGACGCGATCAGGTGCACCCCGGGGAAGTTCCTCGCCCAATTATGTTTTCGTTCCTTTAATCGGATCAATAGTCCTCTGTGAAACTTTTAAGCCATATTCCGTCTCCCGTTTCCAGTTCCCATGCTGTTCTCGCGTACAACATAAGAAACTCGACCCTAACCCTGTTGATTTCTCTACCGCTATATAATGTTCGACAATTGAAAGACACGCATTAGCAGGTGACCGTCTCCGCAATTACTGAGGTTACACGCAAGTGGCTTTGACGTTTTATTTATTTTTATTGTGTTTCCAATACTACTAACCCCATTCGGGGTTGTTGTTGAGTGGTACAGTTTGAAATATTACAAGAAAAAAACATTATTTAACACACAATTTGCAGGTCAATATTCAACGCAAATATGGAAGTCAAGAATGAAAAATTAGTAAGTAACTTCAATACAATAGATACATCGCACTCTGAAAGACAGCATAAAATATTAGTCTATAGACTATGGTGCAATCTGGACAACTAAGTAAGGGAGAGAGATTTCAGTAGAAGAGGAATGAACAACATTTTTGAGGCAGGTGGTTCTATTCGTTAATGGTTCGGGAAATGGCCCGGGCTTTGCAAAATGGAAATTGCAGGATGGGAGATTTACATCAGTCATCCTTCCATTTCATTAACAGATAGTGAAGTTCGGTTTTTATCTTCAACATTGACGCATGTTTTAGTTAAAGGTTCATGACCAAAGACCTTTTTCCGGATTTGTTTTGTTTTTACAGTTTTGAATCCGGGATGAACTGTTGCGCGCATGAGCAAAAGGAAGTAGGGATAGGGAAAGAACCCTTTCTTGTTTCTATGTGACCTCTGAAGTTTCAATAAACTGCCAATCGTGAGTGAGCGCTTGTCTGTCGATCGTGTTTGGTCTTTCCTTTGTCCTTGACTTTTGTACGCTTTTTTAGCCAGAATGATCAAGCGGCTTTGCTTCGACGAACCTTAGCCACATCCGCCTCATGACAAAGCGGAGCTGCATTTCACGAAAAATGACGATATAAGCAGGTGCTTAAATCGCCATTTTCACGCTTGGTGGCTTTCTAAAAATATTTCCTATATGCGAAAATATGGGATGAGAAATGGTCTTCATCTCGATATATAAAGGTATATAAGTATATTCGAAATTCTGCACACTTGGAACATGTTGAAGGTGACGTTTTGGGCCCTACATCGTTTGGTAGTAGAAATGAGTAGAGTTTAATGTTGAACCGAATTGGTTCAAATTTTAAGAGGTGTAAATAAAGAGTGCTTACTCTGCCTATCGTGGCCTTTTTTTTTTCTTCATCTTATATTGAGAGTTATATTTCTTGCAATATAGGCTTCATTACAGTAAATTCTCGATCAATTTCCACGACCATTGATCGCTTTTTACGTGTGAAACTTGTAACAGGTATTAATGGGTATTCGCAACTTTCACAACCTATAGGGGATGCGACGGCGCCTATCAAAATGACTGTCATCTGGATGATCGTCCTAAAACAGTAGAAATACAAAAAACGCGCCTCGGCGCAAAGTGCACACCGCGCACGGTGAGGCTCAAAGGAACTGCTCGTCGCTCGCGACAAAGCTACGCGGACCGGCGGACCGCGGGAGACAACTTGCTTCGCGCACGGGCTTGTTCAAACTCAACGTTTTCTCGCCAGCGAGGACGAGAAAACTCCGCTGACACAGGGCCTGTCCAATCAGGACGATTATACAATTCTATTGGCCCCAGTGCCAGCGGGTCCTCCACCAATCACAGAAA